GATTTGGCTAAGCTCCTCAAACATGCATGCAGCATACGATAAAGAGAGCACCGGCCCAGCTAAAGTGCAGTTTCCGGCTTCGCTGGCCTTCGCTCAAAAGCCCAACGTAGCTCGAGACACCACAGTCGCACCGATGCGGAATTTGAGAACCCTCGGCGCATGCACTTGTAGCTGGACACAGGGTAGGCGCCTCATCTCGTTTTGCGCGCATACGAACTGTTTGGAAAACTGCTTGTTTTCGCTTGTTATTGGACGTCAAAATTCTATGAGGCGACCAAGTAAGCGTGGTGCGTGATGAACCGCAGGACCATTCCTTCACCGCGGCATTTATGGAGCGCCGAAGTGGAACGCACCACGTCGACAGGTCTTTGCATGAAGCTGTCCTGACAGTGGGTACGTTGTCGTAATGAGAAAGTAGTTGGGAGTCATGAAGATAACGGCGACGCTTCCGTTGTTCCAGTGTGAAGTGGGATTTAGCCTTTGCGTTTACGTCCTATTCGCAGCGGCGGCAGATATTCACGTCAGCCTTTGTTGCAACTTAAGATGCGGTGGAATACAAGTACTGTGGAGACATCAAATCTTTTTGTGTGTTTTGCAGCCTCAACAGCTGTCCGCACGAAGGAGCTGCTTGAAAAGCGCAATGGTATTTGGAGTTTCGCGTGGCAGATTTCTCTTTTGTCTGCAACAAACAACGAGCAGTCCTGAGGGGTGAAAGAGCACCATTCATTTGCTGGTCCTCGTCAGGGCGGCTGCGTTTGTTGCAGCGGAGCTGTGGCCGGCTGTAACAGGCTGCGTCTTTCGAGGATGCTAAAGTTATTGGGCGTAGTGTCTGAGTGAATGAAGTAGGGTGCATCGACTTTGCGCCAAAAGCACCAAAGAAGGCAAACAAATACACGGCGAGCAGTAAATGTCCAATTAATGCGCATTTCTTGCCGTCTGGGAACATGCTGCAGTTCTGCGCTGGCCCAGGTTATGATGAAGAAAATGTTCTAGCTTCAGACGAATATTTGCTCTTCTATGCCGCGCATCAAGCTTGTTCAAGCACCTGACTATGAATGAAACGGTTCGGCTTGTAAAGGTCGGGGTGTTGTGCAGTTGTATTCGTTGAGCGGTTGTTGCGACATGATGAAGGGAAGTGGAAGACATTGTAGGAGGTCACCTTTGGGGCCGACGTGTCGGGGGCGTTGTAGCAAAGCTCTTTGTATTGTGGTTTGCAGGGCTGCAGTCGTTGCACAAGGCTGTGAATGACTGGTTCAAAACCATGTCTCTCATGGTTCTCGCATAGCTTCTTCCACATGTATGCAGCGCGCGATAAAGAGCATTTGCCCATCTCCACTGCAGTTGTTGGTTTTGCTGGCTTTTATGAGTGGGACGGGATAGCTCTAGAGCCTGTGAAAGCATCACTCGTGCACCCAAGCGAAGGTTGGGTTTCCCCGGCGTATGCACTTGCAGGTGTATACAGTGTAGGCGTTAGACTGCTGGCTTGTTTGATTATGCAGCATTTGAATAACCGTTAGTTGCCCATTCCTACTGGACATTAAAATCCGACGGGGGCACCTACTGAGAATCATACGTGATGCGCTGCATCATTCCATCGCCATGGCATATGTAGGGCATTGAAGAGAAACATCTCACCTGAAGAGGCGCATGCAGGTCACGGGCCATATAGGAAGTAAGCTTGGTGATTTGCGCGAGTATTGGGGAATCCTGGAGGTGGCAGATACGCACATAGTGCTTGCACGTATCGTGAAAGTTCGCCTTCGTGTTTACGTCTTATTCGCACCGGTGCCAGATATTCACGTCACCCTATTTTGCAACTATTCATGCGGTGGAGCACAAGTACTCTGGAGACATCAAATCTTTTTGTGTGTTTTGCAACCTCAATAGCTGTCCGCACGTAGGAGCTGGGCGTATGCACTTGCAGCTGTATGCAGTGCAGGCATCAGACTGCTGGCTTGTGTGATAATCAACTATCTGAGTAACTGCCTGTTGTTCGTTCTGTTGGACATTACAATCCGACGCGAAAACCTACTGTCATTCCTTCACAGTGGCACATATACAGCGCTGAAGAGAAACATGTCATCGTAAGAGGCGCATGCAGGCTACTGACCTCCTAGGTAGTACGGTTTGATAATGCGCGAGTCTTGGGGACTCCTGGAGATGGCACACACGCACTCAGTGCTTGCACGTATCGTGGGGGCTCGCCTTCGTGTTTACGTCGTATTCGCAGCGGCGCCAGATGTTGACGTCAGCCTTTGTTGCAACTTAAGATGCGGTGGAGCGCAAGTACTGTGGAGACATCAAATCTTTTTGTGTATTTTGCAGCCTCAATAGCTGTCCGCACGTAGGAGCTGCTCGAAAAGCGCAATGGTATTTGGAGTTTCGCGTGGCAGATTTCTCTTTTGTCTGCAACAAACAACGAGCAGTCCTGAGGGGTGAAAGAGTAGCATTCATTTG